TTAAAAAAATCATAAACTTTTCAAAGGAAAAAAAAACTGGTAATTGCTCTTGCACAACTTCCCCAGCATTCAAACAGGAGTTTAAGTCCAATAAATTTTTTATTATAGCATAATTGAAAATTAATAATAAAAGTCTCCTACATTCATGGCTTCTTTGAACAGGTAAACAAAAGTTTTGATAAAATAAATATATAGCTAGCCCTACCCTATAACAACTTGCAAAAAAGAATCCGGAAGGCTGAACCTGGCATAAATAAACAACCAGATAAATACAAAACTACCGAAGTTGCCTATAAAATACCTTGCACATGCGAACCGCCAAAAGTATACATTGGAGAAACAAGATGAAAAGAACACATCACGGACCTGAAGTATAATAGAATCAACTCTGTTTTTTACAAACATTGCACAACCCACAACTGCAAAATAGATAAGAATGATGTTATAATAGTACACAACAAAAAAAATTGGTACAAAAGAAAATTCAAGGAAAGCTACAAAATTACTACAGACAAAAATAATATTAACAAGAATCTAAGCATTGACATTCTATTTTAATAATTGTAGCCAGTTTTTATGAATGTTTATACAGTCGCAGGCGAGGCTGTGCGCAGCACTCGGGGAGTGAGACGTAACAAGTTACGACGTATGTGGGGGAGGCCGTCAAGTCGGGAGGGGAGGGGAGGGGAGGGGAGGGAAGAGAAGGGGAGTGGGAAGTACGGAAGGTGCCTGACAGATACTGTATACACAAGATACAACCTATCTATGTAACAGACTGAAGAGGGGCGAAAGCCCAAAACGCATATCTGTATTAATTAAAAGTGGATGATGAAATTATTTGCCAAGTGTCAAAAAATGCACCAAGTCGTGACATTGAATTAGAAATAATAATAAAAGCTAAAAAATGAGTCAGTCATTTTGTTGAAATATGAGAAATTTCTATTTTTCAAAAAAGAATATTTAAGTCAAAGTTAAAATGTTTTGAGATTTTATCAGAAAATTTTATAAGACAAAAATCTTATTTCTGAGGTTAGGGGTAAATTTAAAAAAAGTTAAATGCCAATAAAAAAATTTCATTAAATCCAACCCTATAAGCCATGACCTGCTACTACTATCCTTCTATCTCTAGCTTTCTTTTACACTTATAATCTACAAAATTTAATAGCCTTAATGTCCCATATACAGAAATAACACTTCAAAATTTTTCAGTTCTGAGCCATAATACTAAAAAATAAATCTGAGATACACAGATATTTAAAACCATTCACGCACTTCTAAAATGTCAACCTTAATCAGCTTTCGGCACACAAGACACTTGGCTTTGAGAAATTTTTAGAGAAGAATTTTATATGCCAGAAAAGACAGTATACACAGATGATCCCACTCTAAACACTGTTGATAATTCAGTGTTATATTAATTCCATGTTGTACGAGTAACTTAGATTTTACAAATACGTGAGCCATTCACTGCCCAGCACACGTATTTGTATAATCTAAGTGACTCTTACAACATGGAAATCACATAACACAGAATTATCAACAGTGTTATGGGGGGATCAACTGTAAAATTATTTTTTTAAATCAAGGTTCAATTGAAAGTAATCCTTGATAAAAGCTTGGGAAAAAATAAAATATTCTCTATTTAATAAAATATTCATTTATTGCAAGCTAAAGTTTTGAAATAAAAAAAATTTTTTCCTTATTAGTTTGACTTATGCAAATCAATTGTCAGTAAACAGTAAAAATCAATAAAGTTAAAAATTACATCATTAGAATGCATACAACATGAATATTCTAGTTATACAATACAATAATGAAATACATCTTAAAATTAAGATCTTATCTCTGAAATATTAAAGATTGAAACTAACAATTTAGAATTTTTTTTAATCTTTAAGGCAAAACATTTGCCAGATTAAATAGTAGCTATATTACTGCTACTATTAATTATTAAATACCAAGTAATTTGTCACAAGAGGTAGATGTTAGGCACCATCTCTTATTATATTTAAGTATAATTATAATTTTTATTAAATAATTTAGTCAGCACCATGAGTAACTAGTTGGTTATATCTAAATTAAATGTCTGGAAGCAAGATTAGATAAAGGTCTGTGTAGCATAACCAGAAATGCATCCACATAAACAGCCATTGTGGGTTTGAGTCCTGCCTGGACAAATTCTTTTCTTCCAGAATTTTATAAAATTTATTAAATATTAAATTAATTATTAAATTTAATAAGAGATGGCACCTAATGCCTATTACAAGTGCAAAATTACTCAGTATTTAATTATTAATAGTAGTTGTAATGTAGCCTGATTTAATCTGGCAATCAATTGGTTTTATTATTATTATTGGGGCTTTTATATATTTTATATATATTTATTAAATTGGGTATTCATTCTTTAACTACCACAAAGATAAATCTAATGACTAATATTAAAGAGTAAATATCACTTTCATGTATCAAAAATATTATTAAGTAATCTAATTTAAATTGATTAATTATAATTTATATTGGTTATATTTATGTCAATAATAACACTCCAATGTTAAAATACTATATAAAAAAGTAATAAATTCTTGTTATAGGGAGAATATTCTTATTATTACTAATAATTTTATTGATATTTGTCATTTGATTTATAAATCTTCATTACAATACAATATTCTGTTTTATTATATCAATATGTTATATTGCTATTTTAATTTATAAAATATACAATAGAATTAAATAGATGATTACATTTTTTGTCATAACACAGAAATAGGTGAGATAAGGTTATACAAAATGATTTTTTAATATTAAGTGACAATTGACTATTAAAGTATTTACGCTATTCAAAAGAGTGAATCAATAGAAGATCAAACATTAAAAAATATTTTATACATGATTTTCTACATATACTAACACCTATCTCTGATATTTGATAAACTTAACAAAACAAACTTTGAAAAACAGTTGTGGCTATAACAGCAATTGAAAACTTTATACACTTATAGTTGAGCTCACCTGCTTCAGTTGAAAAAAACTTTGTTGCCAAAACGCTTAAGTTGATTATACAGTTAAAAAGTATATTCTTGTCTAGTATTAAACAATATGCAAACTTTGACATCATTTTTATATAAAATTTCTCAATCATCTTGTTATAAAATAGTCATGTGATGAATGTAGTGATATAGGAAAGCATTGGCAATGCTTTTCTGTCTTATTCATTGTATTACTTTCTTATTGATTTCATTAATTTGATTTTTATATTTAATTATTAAATACATGAAAATAATAATGTTCAAAAGACTTATGCTATGAATTATTGTGCAGCATTTTAAAAATAAATTATTTTCAGTAGTTAAATTTATTAATTTTATTGCAATGAAGAAATATTTATAGAGCCTCTCCTAAAAATCTGATTATCAAAGTATCTAATTTTTAGGAGAGTATCTACAAATACACTGAATAAATAAGATTAAAACTTAATTTGAATTTATATTTTGAAAGACTGATTAAAAAATTTTTGTAAGAATTTCTGATAATTTTTGTTTACTTGAATCTTCATAGAAGTCTTTTTAATACTTGTGCATATTACTAGATTTAAAATATTAATTTTTAAATATTGGAACACAACTAGTATAAGGATGTCTTGTTTTAAACTGATTTTCAGTCCTTTCCATTTATTTCCAACAAAAATATTGAGAGGAAAAAAAAAAGACATTTAAATTAAATCTCGTCCCAACAATCATTTATAATTTAATGCATAGCCATGATATAATATGCCATGATGTAACACTTGCTAAAAATTTCCCCTGGTTCTTCAAGGTACGAGGTTTGTGCCTCAGTGACTAATTATACAATATGCTCTGTGGACTACCAGTAGTACCTTAGCATTCTGTAGATGTAGTTTAAGAAATAACACACAACAAACTTGTACCAAACTGCAATTCATGGTCTGTACATGTAAATTCATTCATCTAAGCCTTGAAGTATATAATATATATCCCTCAAACAAAAAGCATTCAAAAATTAGCATAAATATTAAAAAAGAAATACANAAGGGATTAGGTTACTTTGTTTTTTATGTTATTACCCGAGTATAGGGTGAACCCATGTAATTGCTGTTAGTTTGGGAATGAATCCTGTTTTCCTCATATTTCTTTGTCATTGGTCCTTTCGGGGTTCTGTGCATGGGCGTAGCCAGAGTTTTGTTATGGGGGGGGCCTAGTGGAGGCAAACCTGACACAAAATTGAATTATTTCAAATTATTGTTCATTATTGGGCACCGAGCAAGCCGTTCACCCTTTTTTAGTATTCAAAACTTTTATTTTAGCTTTAGGCTTTACAAATCGACTCAACACTTTTTCGGCTGTGATTTCCTGGGGGGCACCAGGTTCTCTGGGAGGGGCCGTGCCCCCCCAGGCTCCCCCCTAGCTACGCCCATGGTTCTGTGCACATTTACCTATCATAACACTGTAGTCAGTACAGACTATACAAAATTCTTAGAAGACATCTGAGCCAAAACACGATGTATTTTAAAAATACAAAGTTAATTTTGCAGTTCATTTATACGGAATTTCTATGAACTTTTTACAGACTCAACTACATGGTTAATTAAGTTGGTCGATTATGTGAGGATCGGGGTTTATGCGCCGCCGCCTAAACCGTTTCCGACGGCAGGACGGTGAGGCCTATTCAGGTGGTCAATGGATGGAAGGGTTAATCGAGTGGGGAGATCGCGGATAAGTCGATAGGGTGTCGGCGATGTACGAGTAATCACTCTCACTTAAATTATCAAATAGTTTAATAAGAACATTGACTAAATAACCATTTAGTCAATGTTCTTATTAAAGCTCAAATTATAGCTCAAAAGAGAAATACAAAGATAGGCCGTTAGAAGGGTGATGTCGGCATTCGCGACATCTAAGGGATCTAATCCCTTTTTATCTTCCAAATTAATCTAACTAACTCTCGGTCAATTGAGGGCGGGAGAGGGAGATTTTACGCAAATGAGGATAGATTTACCTTGCTATTTGTTGTCGTCTGTGTTGCGTAGAGTAGACGGAGTTAATGATGTTGACCAGCCGCTGTCTGTTGTTTGGACGCCCCCCCGACAATCGGGTGCTAGCCCTTTTTATACATTTTTTTTTAGGAGGACGATAACTCTCATATAGTTGACGATTTATATGGACACCTGTTAGCGGTGCCGGATCTAAATCCAGCCGGTACGGAACGTTGCCGATGTATTGTTTGGGCCGGATTGTTGACGTTAGTTTCTTGGAGATGACCTTTTGCGATATAAATTCTGACGAATTCGACAGTTCTCTCCCATTAATTATTGTATAGTTGACAATATTTTCCCAGATTTAACAACAGTCTCTAGATTGTTTATATTAAATATCGTGTTGGTCGACGAGCGAGGCAATTCATTACTAGGTTGTTTTGGCTATTGTACAGGTTTTCGCAGACACGTGCCACGTGCAGCCAGGGCAGCTAAAGGAGAGGTGAGAAGCGCCGCTTGTTTTAAACTTTCCTTTAAACGTCAGTGTTCGCCTTGTTGACTTTATCGTTGATCGCATTACGGTTTTTTATCGGTCTAGGGCCTAGGCTGTGACATTTAACCCGAAGAGACAGTTTTGATCGTTGATTGTACACTATTCCTTTTTTTTTTTGTTAGGGCTAGGAAGAGATCGATACAACAAAAAAAAAAAAGGGGTGACCAGAATATCACAATTATTTCTCGTAAACTATAAAAGCCTACTTATTCCTGATAGTTCTCCTTTTAAATTAGTTATGTTTGCATATTATTGTATTAAAAACTTTAAAAAATATTTAGTTTACAAAAATTTTCAGGAACCGCAGAAAAGGAAAAAACTTTCAGGAGCGCAATTTCGACAACAAAAACGAGAAAAGGAGGTACAGAAAGAAAAACTGGCTGGTTCTATAATGAAATTTTTAAGCAAGCCAGAAAATAAGGAAACGGAATGTCAAGAAAATATTTACGTAGCTTCAACAAGCACAGCTTTAAATCCAGAAGCTATGGAGGTATCTGAAGAAAAATTTGTATGTTGTAGTCCTTCTTCAGAAGGAGACTCCAGAAAAACTAAAACAAGAGAAGGTACTACTGAAGAACCTGTAAGCAATTTAGCGTCGTCATTGATATGTAGCAGTTTAGATTGTGGTAATGATCCCGGTTTGTGGCCTGCCGGCATGACTAATGATCTTATTAATATTTTGGTTAGTCGTGGTCTCGTACAGGTGTTTAACTACAATTTTCCAGCTAATGACGCTGGAAGAAAATTTGCAAACAATTATTATTCTAGAAATCTTCCCAATGGAGAAAAAATTAACAGAGAATGGCTTGTTTACTCTATTTCAAAAGATTCAGTCTATTGTTTTTGTTGTAAAATATTTGGTAAAACTGTAAGTAGTTTGTCTGCTTTGAACGGTTTTTCTGATTGGCAGCATTTATCATTAACATTGAAAAGACACGAAACAAGCGTTTCCCACAGTGAAAATGTGAAATCGTGGGTACAATTGAATAATATGTTAAAAAATAAAACTACTGTAAATCAAATGCAACTGAGACTATTAGAATTAGAAAAAAAACAATGGTGTGATGTATTAGAAAGAATCATAGCCGTTATTAAATTTTTATCTCATCAGTGTCTGGCTTTTCGGGGCGCGTCAAAAACATTATATGAGCATGATAATGGTAATTTTCTAAAAGCAATCGAAATGATAGCATCCTTTGATTCAGTCATGCGGGAACATATTCACAGAATTCAATCCTCGAAATCTGATTCGAGTCATATGACTCATTATTTAGGAGATCAAATTCAGAATGAAGTCATTGATTTACTCGGCACAACCATAAAAAATTATATACTGGACAAAGTCAGAAAAGCAAAATATTTCTCCATTATATTAGATTGCACACCAGATGCAAGTCACACAGAAGAAATTACAGTTGTACTCAGGCATGTTCTTTTAAACAATGAAACTAAAAATGTTGCGATATGCGAAAATTTCGTTGGTTTCTGTCCGATCACAAGCTCCACAGGTAAAGGTCTATTAAATTTTGTTTTGGATTTATTTTCACATTTAAATCTCGACATTCAAAACTTACGCGGTCAATGTTACGATAATGGTTCTAATATGCGTGGAAAACGCAATGGATTGCAAAAAAAAATTTTGGAAATGAATAATCGAGCATTTTACGTTTCATGCTCGGCTCATAGTCTCAATTTAGTAGTCAATGATGCAGCAAATATTACGCACGAAACTGTGAATTTTTTTAATATAATTCAAGAATTTTACGTTTTCTTTTCATCGTCTACGAAAAGGTGGTCGATAATTGTCAAACATTTACCAGATTTCAAATTAAAAGCTTTAAGTGCCACGCGGTGGTCAAGCAGAATTGATGCAGTCAAACCATTACGGTATCACCTCGAAAAAATATTTGATGCTTTGCTGGAAATATCTGATAATTCGTCGGAATGGGATTGTATTACATCTCACAAAGCTCATTCGCTTGCTTTGAACATCCAAAATTATAGATTTATTTGCTCGATTGTAATTTGGTTCGATATTTTAAACGAAATTAATGCTCTGAGCAAAATGATGCAAAGTCCCATAATAAATACTGAAATTTGCATAAATTTGTTAAATAAGTTGGTTGATAAGTTCACAGAATATCGCACGGATGAACACTTTGAAAGGGTGTTAGAAGAAGCTAGCAATGTGGCTCACGAACTCAACGTAGAAACAGATTTCCCACCAATAAACCAATTCGTCCAAGAAGAAAACCAACACAAATTCAATATGAACATAGTGATGAAGTTTTACTAGACCCCAAAATCAAATACAAAGTAGAGTTTTTTTTTAGAATCCTAGATCAGACATTAACTTCTTTAAAGGATAGATTCGAAGAGTTAAAAACATTTACCGACGTATTTGGCTTTTTTAGCAATAACTTATTTAATTACTCCAATGATAAATTAATGAAACATTGTAAAGATTTAAATCTGAAGCTTAAAGACGATTCGAGTGGTGAAACAGACATTGACGGTATTGATTTATTTAATGAAATCAATGCTTTAAAGTTGCATTTTCCAGAAAACCAGTCTAATAATCCACAAACCCTATTACAATATCTTTTTACCAATGACCTAATTTCCACATTTCCAAACACAGCAATAGCTCTAAGAATATTACTTACATTGCCGGTTTCAGTTGCATTTGGTGAAAGGTCCTTTTCAAAGTTAAAAATTATAAAAAACTATTTAAGATCAACAATGCACCAGCAAAGACTAAGCAATTTAGCTATAGTTTCAATTGAACATGAAATATTAGACAGCTTAAATACAAGTGAATTGATAGCAGATTTCGCAAACATACAGTTCTTCAGCAAAATCGTAAATAAATATTTATATAGTTTTACACTTAAGTATACAAAAATAACTTAGTAATAAAAATAAATAGTTTTTCTTTGTCAAGTATTTCTTTTTTTTTCACACCCTTATGAGACAACACTAGAGCCTTTCTAGCAAGCTCAGCGTAGGTAGTCGTAGTTAACCAGGGGGCGGCATAATCAGTGTTGCACGCGGGCGTTTAAACAGCCAGCGGCGGCCCTGCCTCCCCGTTTATCTCCAAAAAAAGAACGAAGAGCGAGACCTGGCCCACTGTTTACACTGGCCAAGTCGGACACAGACAGCAACATTTTGGAGATGGACCGACGAACAGATTCCCACTCAGTCAGGGCCACATCTCGGAGGGCCCAATCTACCCAACGTCCACAAAGGTAGTCACGTAGAGATAGAGCGTGAAAAGTACTACTGGGTTTACGTCGTTGTACTCGACCCGAAAGGGCCGTACGACTCTGTCTGCCAGACTGAGCTTACGGCCAAATTTTCAGCACTGTAAATCGGTGGCGCAACGTTACGGTAGCTCCAATCCTTCCTCCTCCACCGCGCTATTCCAGTTTGTTAAAAAGGTCTACACCTCACACCCCATTCTACTTAAGGACATCAATCGGACTCAAACAGTTATTCGGACGCAGGCGGCAACGTGGAGTTTGACGTTTTCGGCCGGAAAGAGCGCAGTCGTCAACTTCTCCCCAAATTATGGCGCTCACCAGGTCTTTGTATTTATAGATAAAATCGGAATGATTCCTCGAGAAACGACCGTTTGAATCCTTGAAGTCCATTTCTCATCGTCCTTCACGTGGACTACCCACGGAACTTTCTTCCGCTCCGAACTAGCCCTCTGAACAGGGAACCTTAAAAAAATTCTTCTCATCCGGGCAAAACGGGCCTGGATAAAAACCCGCTTCATTTGGTTTACTCGGTCTTATGCCCAATGCCAGAATTCGGTGCGTCGCTCTCGGAAGGGGCTCTCCCGCCTTGTCTCCCTCATGGAGACATTCATTCATTCATTTTATTTTTAACATGTAGTATTTACATATTTCCTGACCCCGCTGAGGCATTATCAGGAAAGAAACATTACAATAAATTTAAATTAACATTACAATATATGAAGATAACAATACAATTTATATATATGCATTTTTCGTTACACTTAAGAAATAATATCTTAATAATATCTAATTTATCTAAAAAAAAAAAAATAATAATAATATCTAATTTAGACATTGACACATATTATTACAATAATATATTATATTGTTACAATACTATACAATACTGTACAATCTTATTACAATTTTATACCATACAGTACTATTACAGTACTATACATTATTACCAACAATACTATTACAATATTACAATACAATACTATTACAATACAATACAATATTATTACAATTTTGTACAATACATTGGCGCATATTATTACATTGCTATGGGGAACTGTCTGTTGTTTAGATGATAAGTATGTGAAGAAAATTTTTAAAACTCCACTTGGCCAATCTATTGATTTTCGGCAACAGATTACAAAGTAGTAATGTGTTTTCGAATATACCGAAGTAACAATTTTTTACTGTAGATTATATATATAAACAAAATCGACTGTATTATTTGTAAATTTATGGGCTGCAATTTGAAAAAATTGAAGACAAATTTATACTGTTTATATCTGTTTTTCTTAAGTCTGGAGACAGGTGTTAAATAAAAAAATGAAAACACTACAAATAGTATATTCGGGGCGGTAGGACCTACTTGATTAAATAAGCACATCTGAAAGAGATCGACAGTCACGTTGTTTTATTAATTATATTTTCTCTGAAAGGTGTTAGAAAGTTGATTCATGGGTTTATTGTTTAAAAAAATAGTAAAATGTACTGCAATAAGAAACTGCTAATTTAAGGTAATAAAGATTTTAGCTCTGCATTTTATATCTATTTATTTATGTAAACATTTTTTTTAAAATAAATTATCTCTTTGTTTAACTTATAGAATCACACTTATTGTTTTGATTTATTTTGATATAGAAGAATACTCAACATGATTCTTCAATTAGAACTAAGTTTTATACTGATTACATATAGTGTTCATCCAGAATTAAATAATGCCCTTGATAGTAAGTATTTCTCTACATTTTTCTAAATGTAGAAAATTATGTTTTTAATTGAGAATGGTAATTAAGAAAAGTTAAGAGGACTTTTCGTATGAATTTCTGCAGTGTGTTTTTATTCATTACATCAGAAGTTCTTTATACTTTCTGGACATTTAATCTATTTATCATTAAATATTGATATAAATAACTTTTCTTAGACAAAATATGTGAGTATTTTTACAGTATTATACTTCAAATAATAACTTATAATAATTATACGTTTATAAATATATACGTATACAGAAACATAACTATTATTATTATAAAATTCTAATTAGAGTAATTTTACAAATAAATGAAATTTGTGTAAATTTTAGAATCTATTCCCAGCAAATTCATTGAGAAAGAATATGTTGTGGATGTAGTAGAAGAGATTATTATATGGTCACATCTAGTGACTTTTTTCTATAATTCTGGTGATCAGCGTTTTGCATTTACTCACTGTGTTAAAAACTATTCTTTCATAGAAGTGGAAGAAAGTTACATTAAAATTGTAAGTTTTTAATTCATTTCTTGCATAATTTCTAATAATTTATAGTATTGCCCGAATTTTTTATATTAAGAAAATGGCGTTGTTGGTTTTTTATACTTTTAATTAACTGATTTGTGGCCAGTAATTAATACACTAATCTTCAATTTATGGTTTTACACGTCAAACGTTCAGAGTTTTAATTAAGTATAACAAACTTAAATGAGGCCAATTTTACATATAATTTTTAGTATAAGGATTTAAGTAGTACTTTTTTTGATAATTCGTTATATAATCGAGCTGTTTTACTTATTATTTTGTCTTTTTTTATGCAAGCTAGGTGTAATAATTTACTGCATTTTTTAAATGTTACAGTGCGAAGGTTCAAGTATGGCTTACTGTAAAATATATAATAAGACAAAAGTAGTTGAAAATAAATGGTTAATACCATGGTTCATACAGGTTGGTGTAGATGTCGTAAGTATAAATAAATGTAATTTCTAATTGTTCTTTTGTTTTATCGTTGTTTACATATAATGTTGTAAAAGTTGAAATAATATTTGAATTTGTATGTATGTTTAAAATTCAGTGTAATTCAGTTTGCATATATCTGTATGTTAACGTACAGTACATTATACTGTATTTCAAAAGACATTACAAGTATCCTCTCCTTCGTTTTTGAAACTTTCATAACTTAATTCACTTTCTCTATGCCAAATTTGAATGCCACATTTTTAGCCAACAACGAAAGCTTTTGGCTGTTCTGAATTGATAATTTCTGTCAATTCATGCAACAGAAAAGTTACCTGATTAAGTTAATTTTTATTGTTTTCTTTTATTTTCTGTAATTTTTCACTTACTTAAATTGTGGGCATTACAGAGCCTTTTCTCTGTGGCAGTAACTGATTCAGTAAGTGACACACTGAGGGCAGCGAAATGTTATGCGACGTGGTTCAGCAAAGTTCTTTATGAAAAATTCTTGCGTACTTTGCTTCAATTCGATCCTGGAATAATCAAATGATGTGAATGTATTTTATAGCTTCTGATAACTTTAGTAACATTCTCAAAAGTAGATATATTCAATGCCTTTAACATATAATAAAGTAATGTAAGCAAATTGCAAGCAATGCTTTCTTCTTTGAGCTATTAGACATGTATAGTAAAATTTAAACTATATACTTGAATTAAATAATACTAAAATTATATAATAATTATAACGTTTTTCAGGAAAATATGAGAGAGGAGAATAAAACATTTATTGGACGATATATTGACCTGTTAGCAGATGCTCTTCATGCCAGGTATGATTTTTTATACAGTATAAATAAATCATATTAGATTTGTTAGATTCATTTGATTTGTTTCGTTACAGGCTTATAACCACAACGTACATAGACGATGTAATAAATCTATATCCGGCAATTGTAAAGTTTTAATATGTATTTTAATAATTTTATTTTATTTACTAGGCAGACATTGCCATCCATGGCGGTAATCTCAGAAAAACTTACATGTCTTACTCTTCTTCTATAAATCACATTTCAACTACATTTGCAATACGTGCTGCAAGACCTTTAGATAAAGCACTTATCTTGGTGAAACCCTTCGATGTAATAGTAATGTTTCCAAAATCATTAGTTTTCTCTGTATATCGATAAACATACGCTTCATTATACGATTCAAAATTTAATACCAAAAAAATTATTACATATTTCATAACATAACCGATTTACCGATTGGTAGTATAACGAAATGCAACACGTGAACTCATCTACCAAAGAAAATATGCCACCGGGGGAGACAG